ACACTTGGTGGAAGAAACGTTAGCTTGTCACCTGCTACTATTAGAAATAAATAGTTCTATATCAATGCCTGTGCCACAATCAAAGGACCATATGAGCCATGAATAGTTATGCAGGGATAGATTTAATTTTTTAATGAGGAAAACAAGACTGCAAAGTGCAAACACATAACAAGCTACATACTAAATATCATATTTATTGTTGAAACCAAACATTCATACAATATCCTGAACAATATGTCTGCACTGGTTTATAACATTATGCACATTTAAAAAAATGTTTAAGGCTCTTTCTGGTATTCTCTCCATGCTAGCTTAAATGCTACACCTTGTCCTATAATTAAAGATGTCAGCTGTTTATAGCTCTGCTCAAACTTACCTTCAGATCTACAACAAAACAATATTACTGTTTCCAGGATTTCGCAGATGTCAGTCTGTCTGCTATCAGAATAAAATACGAGCTGAATGGCAAAGTTAAAATAAATTATATTAAAAAAAAATTTCAATGACTTGAAAGAATTTGTGTCTGTATATTATTTGAATGGACACCTGGGATGAATTATTTTCTGTAGAAAGACAAATAATTCTATACGTCATTTTGGTTTCCCATGTGAATTGAGTACATGTTTAACACAGTGGTTCTCAATTCTGGTCCTCATGACCCACTATCCTGCATGTTTTAGTGGTTTCCCTGCTTTGGCACACCTGGTTTAAATGAATGAATGATTGACAGATTTCTGTAGAACTCAAAGACCTGCAGATGAGACACAACTAAAACAAGCAGGATAGTGGGCCATGAGGACCAGAATGAAGAACCACTTCTATAACCCTGTTGATTGTGCTTACAGCCAGACAACTGTTGTGAAATACTAATTGATTAAAARGTTAATTTGAATAAGTGTTTTAAGATCATATTACATGACAATGCTTTAAGTTTAATCTGCACTCAAACATTTTAACCAGGGCTCAACATGTTTTACTGTCAAATGCACCAGGCTCCAATTAAGTGTGTAAAGAAATAAACTATAAATCACAGCAGGCACATTTTGTGGAAGGACAGATCCCAAAGACAGACTTTCCAAATTAGACTAAAGGCTGATGCTGCTCCAACCCTGTCTGTTCATCACCCAGAACCAAGGAGGAGGAAAGATCCTGACGTGAGAAGAACTTCCTGCCTTTTTTCAGTGAGCTCAACAGGCTAGTTTTTTTTCTTCTTTAGCTTTTAGAATGGGCCACAATAAAACATATGTCCAACGTAGCAAGACCAGACAAAAGGCTGTTCTTCATTCTAAACGTCCCACATCTGGTGAGAAGCTTTCAGAAAGTCCGGTGCATCTTTCATGGAGCTCCCAAACGCCATGGATCCTGAATAGAGACAAGCAAGTTTGTTATAAAGCATATTCCCTTCAAGTAATAATTAACAAAAAGAAAAAACAAACAAACAAGCAAGACACCTAACCCCCAACTGCTCCCTGGGCACTTACATACAACAGGTAAAATAAGTATTGAACAAGTCACCATTTTTCTCAGTAAATATATTACTAGAGGTGCTAATGACATGAAATTTTCACCAGATGTCGGTAACAACCCAAGTGATCCATACATACAAAGAAATCAAACCATAAATGTCCAGAAATGAAATGACGAACCAGCAGCTAATCGCTAGCGGCACTAATCGCTAGCGGCCAATGGCGAACTGATAGTTGGTCATCATAATTACAAAAATACCCCAACGAAAAATTTATTCAGATTTTATTTTACTGCACTTACCATAGCTGCAGCAGAGTTCTGCTGCTCCAGTCGGTTGATTAATAARGAACTGGGTCTCAGGAAGAGCAGATACAGCATGTAGCAACACACAGGCTGCAGGCACGTCCAGTGGAAGAAAACAAACGCACCCCAGAGCAGGATGTCTCCGCCCAGTTTAATGCTTTCATTCGATTGGCTGGAACGGTTGCTAGAAAACGGTATTCCCTGATCCGTGAGAGCGCAGGAGAAATCCACAAGCAGAAAAGTTAAGTTTGTGAGCGCAGTTTGGGTTTGTGCAAAGAGAAAGTTTGAGCATCTGAGAGAGAGCAGTGGTTTTGAGTGCGAGCATGTTAAGTTTTGAGAACAAATACTTAAAGTTTTTAGAGCAAAAACATATTATTCTGCTCTCAAGTTGAAAATATACACTCTTGGATTAAGTCAGGAAAATCCTCCCATATACAAAGATCATTGATGTAAAGTGAAATAAAACTGGTCCAAAGACTGAACCTTGATGCACTCCTATGACAACATCCAGAGTGGACGAGGACACCGAGCACATTGAGTTCTGCTTTATATCTGTCCAATACAGAATTGTTCTTATCATGTTTATTATTATATCTATAAAATAATCATTCTGAGATATTTTGGCAGCAACTGTTCTATTAATTGTATTTTTGTTTTTAAATAAAGAAAATAAATCATGATACAATGAAAYTATTTAATATAATGAAACTCCAGTATTTTTGCTGCGCTGATGAAATCATCAGAATCTCATTCAGGACACCAGCTTTGTGTTTGTTTCCACCTAAAACATACAGAACCTCAGGTGAAAGGTGAGAAAAGTTTCATAAAAGTTGGAGCCACCTCCTCACCTGTAATGAGGAGGAGGAAGCTGCTGGATGACATCATGGATTTTGATGAGTCGCTCCTCGTCTGTAGCAGCCGACACTGCATCCTTCAGAGAGAAGAGAAACCAGAGAAGGTCAGCACACAGGAAACATCAGCCTCGCCTGCTGCCACAGCAACCAAAAAACATTGACTTCCTCCTCAGGCACGACTCTGACGGGTTTGGAGGAGATTTGTATTCCCGGGGCAGTTACATCATGACAGTGTGGGTCAAACAGTTAAATATTATTTAGCTGGTTTTGTCTGACAGAAAAGGTTTTAGAATCGATTTTAAACTATTTTAAACAAAGAGCTGTTTCATCTAATCAATAAACTGCTCATCAATGAAACTTTGTGATTTTACAGTCTTTAACTCTCAGGTGGGAAAAAAGCAAAGATAAAAGTGTAAACAGTTTTTTCTTCTTTTTCTCTGTCCTTTTTGTATTCATTTGTGTGAGTGTTGTAGTATTGGTTTCTCTAAGATGTGAAGCTTCTTGGTAGTTTCACATCTCCATCTCCATCTTCTTCTGCTTATCCATAGTCAGGTCGCAGAGGCAACAAATCCAGGAGAAACCCAGACATCTCTCTCCCCAGCGACACTTTCCAGCTCATCCTGGGGGACCCCGAGGCATTCCCAGGCCAGAGAAGATACATAATCCCTCCAGCGAGTCCTGGGTCTTCCCTGGAGCTTCTTACCAGTGGGACGTGCCTTAAAAGGGAGACGTCCAGGATGTATCTTAATCAGATGAACCACCTCAACTGACTCTACTCTACTCTGAGCTCCCCCCGATGATGGAGCCCCTCACCCTATCTCTAAGGCTGAGCCCAGCCAACTTACAGTGGTTTGCAAAAGTATTCATACCCCTTGAACTTTTCCATATTTTGTCACATTACAACCACAAACATAAATATATTTCACTGGAAT